ACCAGTATCATAAGCCTGAGGAACAGATAAGGCTACTGAATTTCCTGAGCAGACAGAAACACAAGTTATTGAACATCTTCAAAAAAGTGCACAAAAATATCAGATGCTGGTCCAGGATGTTTGCATCTACTAGCATCAGTTTCATCGATAGTGCGCTGATGGAAACTCTGCGTTAAAACTCTATTCTAGTGAGAATGCAACAGTGGATCAAATCCCAGGACTGCCAAAAGTTACAATGGATTAAATTGTCTTTCAAATGTTCAGAATGTGAAAAAAAGTATATGAAGGTATCTTCCTCTTCACTGTTGCTATAGAATCCACTACATCATGGTCAGAGCTGAATAAATCATAAATTCATTAGCTAGTCCACAAGATGAGTTAAAACTCCAGTGTGCTGCCCCGTTCCATAATTTAGTTGCCTTGAAACCTAACTGACAAGTTCAAAAGTGGTAGCAAACACAATATCATAACACATGGAGAGCTAGTTATCCAGTTAAAATGACAAATATATTGTTCATCATTATGTAGCACATCATAGTTGTTTGCAGCCACAACAAATATTTTGGCAGTGAAATATTGTGTTTTTGAGATATTTCAATCTGGCAAACACTTTAGTTTTTATCTAAATAGAATAAACCACATGGGGGCACGGTGGCTTAGTGATTAGCAAGTGGAGTTTTCATGTTCTCCCTGTGCTTCGGGTTTAATCTGGGTACTCTGGTTTCCTCCCCAGTCCAAAGACATGGATTGTTGGCTGATTGGCACCTCTAAATTGTCTGTGTGTGTGTGTGTGTGTGTGTGCGTGTGAGATCATGCCCTGTGATGACCCCTGCCTTGTGCCCTGAGCCCCTTGGGATAAGCTCCAGTCTCCCCATGTCCCTGTGTAGGATACATGGTATGGAAAAAGGATGGCTGGATGGATATTTAACCAAACAACGACTCGTACATAAGCAGGAGAGTTATTGTATATGACAGATTTATGTTGGATCCAAAACAATTAAAGGTTAAATGCCTGTGTTCAAATGCTTCCCTCGAAGTGAAGTTGCAACTTGTAATCTCCCACCTACAACCACTGAAAACACCAAGTCTTCTCAATTTATTCAGTGAATTCAGTTTACGCAGTGACTTCAAACCAACATGGCCACACACACTGTGAACAGTATAAAATGCCCCTTCTCCTCTTTTAAATTAGTTGATCGCAGTATTGACTACAGATCAATTAGTATACAGACACACTACTTGGTTAAATCTATAACACTCACCATACTAATTGCCTATTTTGAGAAAGTAATAATCAACATTAGAGTTCTCGCTAATGTTAGCTAGCTAGCCTGTTGCTTAGCTACTTGCTTTGGTCCGCTGTTGTTACTGTGCTGCAACTGCAGTGCAAAATGTTGCAAGACATTTTTTAATGTTTAATGTTCACTATAGTAGAATATTACCAATACCACTCAGGCCTGTAATTGTAAAAGTGAGGTTAAAGTAGCATTTTATGAGCTTTACATGCTAACTGCTTACACACACTTCCATTTTTTAACCACTTTGCACTTCGAATGTGTTCAAGTTTGAAATGACGTTATTGCCACTTGCACTATAAACGTAGCATAAATTTCACACTTTCGTACCATGATTCTTTCCACGGTAGTTTCTACACTTCCAGCTTTCAAGTTTGTTTCCACAATTGAAAAAACTGGTTCCCATCCTATTACTATTATCTTCTCACGTTCCCTACCTATGATTTTAACAACAGGTGACCCCACCCGAGTCCAACCCTTCCTCTCTCCGCCTCCGGGATTTTGCAATTTTGTGATTGCAGATATGAACGCAAAATCAAGCAAACTCCGCAATATTCGGTGGAGCTTGCAATTTTTTCAAAATTACTGTTGATTTTCCGCAGATTTGACGTCATCACGATGTGTATTCAACCAAAGCTGTTTTCAATTCACGTGCATTGAACATGAGTACAACTAAGGCCTCATTTACCAACAAACATCACTGAGAAAGGCCGTGCGAAACAATTTCGGCAATTCTAGTAGTTTCCAGAAAAGCGCACAAAAAAACTCAGAAAATTGCCTCACAAATTTTTAAATAAGCTGCAGCAAAATCAAATATTTTTGGCCACAACACACACATATATGCACACACACACACACACACACACACACACAAATACGGACTGATTTCAGCAAACTAGCGTTCATATTAACAAATTATTATAGCATATGCAGGTTATATACAGGTGCATCTCAAAAAATGTTACTATCATGGAAAAGTAAAATTATTTTCTGTAATTTAATTCAAAAAGTGGACCTTTCATATATTCTAGATTCATTACACATAACGTGAAATATTTCAAGCTTTTTTTTGTTTGTTTGTTTAAATCTTGATGATTACGTCTTACAGCTCATGGAAATCAAAAATCCAAGATCTCAAAATATTAGAATAAAGAATTTATAATACAGAAATGTCAACCTGAGAAGAACTCAGCTAATCAGCTAATTAACACAAAACACCTGCAAAAGTGTCCTGAGACTTTAAAAAGAACTGGAATGCTGCTCTGTGGTCCGAAGTCCACTTTTCCAATGAAACTAAAATTCGCACTTTATTTGGAAATCAAGGTCCCAGAGTCTGGAGAAAAAGTGGAGAGGCACAGAATCCAAGTTGCTTAAAGTCCAGTGTGAAGTCCAGAGTCAGTGATGTCATCTGCTCTAGTTTATCCAGTGTGTTTTCTCAGTCTATGGCTGCTTCATTGCAACAGCAGTCTCTGTGGTGATAGTACTCCATCACACAGACACACTCTCTCACATGCACACACGTGCACGCACACACACACACACACACACACACACACACACATTCCAACTTTCATAATGATCCAGTTTGTTAACTACTAACATAAACTCTCAAGGACCAATCCAACAACAGAACATTTTTCCTTCCATTTAAATGTGATATTATTCCAGAAAACATGGATTTTGCCTTGGGGATCAATAAAGTACTCTCTACAGGGAGTGAATCTATTATTTGTTGATATTCGACAAGGTCTCTTGATGCCAATTGGGTAAAAATACAAGAGGACTTCTTTTTCTGACCATACTCATGGTAGAGCGAGAGATGTGTACACCAAAATGCAGCCTTCTCAAACATTTGCCTTTTTAGTAATTACAAATCTCCTCCACTGAGCCACTTTAGAATGAAACATGTGAATAGGCCTCCTTGTACCTTCATCTTTATGACGAAAGCTTGCCATAATTAACTTGAAATGAATGTTCATATATATTCCCTTTAATATAGATCCTAAGATCTTTTAATTAGAGTAACCTATTTTTCTCCTTTCTTCTCTAACCAATTAACCAGTGCTATAATTGGATTTCTTCATACACATGTAAATGTGTGTGTGTGTGTGTGTGTGTGTGTGTGTGTGTGTGTGTGTGTGTGTGTGTGTGTGTGTGTGTGTGCATGTGTGCGTGTGTGTGTGTGTCTGTGTGTGTGAAACAAGAAGATGTTAGCCCTGACCCAAGCACTGTATGAATGAAAACAGGCACGGCAGTGTTACCATTTCAGATAATCAGATCTCATTAATCAGCGCTACACTCTGCCAGGCTGGTGTATGTGAGGTTGTGTATTTGTGTGTGAAACAGGTGTCCAGTTCCTCTTTGGCTAACCCTGGGTGACCAATTCATCATTTACTTCAACCAATTTTCATGACGATTCATTAGACAAAGTGCCACATGGATCTACATCTATGATGATTTAACAGATGGTAAATACATATTTAGAGTTTTTTTTCTCAGAATTTTTTTTTCTAAACTAAGGTCTGGGTGGGATTACAGGGGAGGTGGAGCCACACACACACACATAAATCATAACTTTCTTTCTCATGTAGTACTTATACACATAAAGTGCTTTATATCAGAAATAAAATAAAAACTATCTAAAATAGAAGTGACTCCCGATAGGGCATTTAAGTGTGCACACAGCCGAAACTACATCATCATTAATGACTTTCTGCAGCAAACTGGTAGGAGACTGGAGAGAGAGAGAAAGAGAGAGAGAGAGAGAGAGATAGAGAGAGAGAGAGAGAATGGTGATTGGAGCATGGGAAAGAGGTCTGGAGAGATAGAATTGAGAGGCTCTTCAGAGAGAAGTACACATAAACAAGTCATATACTCTTAGGAATAAATAGTCCATCAAGAGTACACACAATAAAAAGTATTAAACTATATCTTTACTTGTTGCTGTGGTGATACCTGGGAACATGAATATAGTGAACCTTTAATAATGATTTAAGATACATAATTGGGCCATAAGGGCCATGGCTGCACCTTAAATAAATTTTTTTGCGTACGGTACGGTTTTAATGGTTTTTAACAGTTTTCACTACATTTACTGTCCCAGGTAGAATATACATAATAAAAGCCCAAAAGACCTTCTCTTCTACTTTCCTTTGCGAGAGTTCTTTGGATAGCTAAGTTTTTTTTTCCCAGAGTGGATAGGTGGATAGTTTAAAAGAAAATACGAATGTTTTGCAGACACAAGCAGAAGCCTTTCTACCTCCTGCTTAAACATACATCAACACACAAACAAACAATTTAAAACTATTAAAAATGGAATGTGTAATTGAAAGTTGATTTAATAAAACCTATACTTGCATAGAATTTTGCAACTAACTACTTCACAGTTGTGGCGTGCTGGGTATGTCGGTTTCCCAGTAGCCTTTGCCAGAGAGACTGAGTTAGGTGTTGAAATATTCTGTTAACTCCAAGAAAATTGCTATGATACTGTACAGTATATTGATTATTACCTTAAGCTGTGAAAAAAGATCTGCTCGTAGCTAGTTAGGTATAGAGCTGAGCAAAATGACAAAACAATAGTATTTTGATACATCTGTATGATATATAATATGTATCATGATATATAGGTTTGTTAACAAATTCCCAGTAATACTAATGATACTTTCATTTGAACATTAATTATTGAGCTCTGAAACGAAGGAGAGGGGCAAGGTGGCTTAGTGGTTAGCACGTTTGGCTCATGCCTCTGGGATTGGGGGTTAAAATCCTCTCTCTGTCCTGTGTGTGTGGAGTCTGCATGTTCTCTCCATGCTTCGGGTTTTTTCTCCGTGTACTCTGGTTTCCTTCCCAGGACAAACACATGCATTGTAGGTTGATTGGCATTTCCAAATTGTCCGTAGTGTGTGAATGTGTGTATGATTGTGCCCTGCAATGGGTTGGCACCCTGTCCAGGGTGTCCCTTGTATGTGTGCCCCCAGTTCCTGGAATAGGCTCCCCGTGACCTTGCAGTATGGAACATGGATCTTAAAGATCTTAAAAATCTTTAAACATTCAGCTGCTTCCAACCACTTTATCAGGAATACACCCTGGATGGTACACCAGTCCATTGCAGGGCACCATGCATACACATCCACACAATTATTCATGACTAGGGCAATTAACAGTCACCAATCCAACTATTTTCATCTTTTTTGGGAGTTGGGAGGAAACAGGAAAACCTGGAGAAAACCCACGCTGATACAGGAGAACATGCAAAACTCTACACAGACAATAACTTGAGCTCAGGATTGAATCCAGGACCCTGGAGCTGTGAGGCAGCAATGCTATCAAGACACTCAATTGTTTTTTTTATTATTAAAATATATCTCAATAAAGTGGATTTTAATATAATTTATGAAGATATTTTATATTGTCATAATGCCCAGCTCCCGCGACCCTGAAAAGGAGTAAGTGGTTGAAGATGGATGGATGGATGGATGGATGGATAATGCCCAGCTCTACTTATAAATTTGTCAGTGCCTTTAGAAATAAAAAAAATACAGGATGTATTGTGCAATCTGTAGACATGTTCCTTCCTGTGTGCTACCCATCCCACTTTACTAAATTTCACAGTTAGGAAGGGTCCAAGGGTTAGGAAGACCAAGCAAATTTGTGGTATTCTACCGATTAAAGTGAATAGAAACAAGACCAGTTTAGCAAAAGATGCCAAAAGAGAATAATTAGTCATGTGTGAAATTTGCAAAGAAATGACAAACACCTGGAGAGCACGTTTAAATAGACCACTTCACCCTTCACCAAATGATTGAAGAAACCTCATAATAATATTACTAATGGCAATAAATAAAAACAATGACAAAGCCCTGAAGAGCATGTTTAAATCAGACCACTGCTTGGATGAAAGATAAAACTATGCTCCTTATTTTTCCCCTGTTGAGTGAACAGCTGACTCTTCTCTCGATAATGAACAAAATGGCATAATCAGATGGCATCTCATGAATACGCTAACACAGAGGATGTTGAATGCATCTGGAGATGAATGGCTGTCATTGTGTCTGGATGAGATAGTAAGACTCTCACCCCAATCTCCTGATAAAGCCACTCAGGCTGTTACTCAGTGAGTAATGAAGAGGACAAATCAGCACCATGGACAGAGGCACACTTTCATAGCACACAGAAGTGAATGTAGCTTTTGGGTTGTAGTCTGTGGATGTACAGTATAATGAGGAGATAACAGGAGGAGAAAATTACTGTAATGTTGTGGGTTAAGACAAAAGATCAACTGTGTACCACAGTGCATTGTAGTCATATTGAAAAACAGATTCTGCCACACTTATACGCTGGAAAAGACCTGTGATGTGATTATGTAGCTTTACTCTCTCAATGTATGCCATAGATATTCACATATGCCATAGACTCTACCATGTCAAAGATATGAAAATACACACCAACACACCCCCCCCCCCACCACCACACACACAGAGCTTATGTAATTTGATTTGCTCCACTTAAACGGGGGTGTGATTAATGGCTTCAGTATCATATGCTTTATACAGCCCTCCAGTGATCCAATAAAATGTGTAGTAATTGAAAGAAAGATAAATACTCATGAATATTAAAGTATATTCCATCATTGAAATTTGCCAGTACAAGTAAGATAAGGTAGTGAATGGACTTGTTTTATTCTCCATTAGCCTAGGGTCAGTGTTGTTAACGGTACTGTACTACACTGCTGAGCTATTTGTGGAACGCTGCTCTTAGGGGATGAGATTTTGCAAAAGGTTGAGTGATAGCAGTACTCGGAACCTGCATCTTCACCAAACACGGGGCACGCGAGCCACTTTACGGACGCAACTCCGGGAAGCTCGGTGCTGTCCGCGGTTACTCTGGGAAGTGTGTCATGAGTGAGCACTAGGGCATCACGCATAAACAAAAAACCTGATTACTATTCTAGTCATGGCACGCATGCAGTAAAAGAGGAGAGTAGGATCCGATGCAGGCAGCAACAGCAGAACACACCCCTCCTACTCGCTTTTTCTCTCTCTCTATCTCACTGCCTCACCTCCTCCTCCTCATCCCTCCATCCTGTGTATGATCTGTCCATTTAAGCATGACTGGGTGACTGATTGTGTGTGCACAGCATGTGCAAGACTGTTTGTATAGGTTATAAATGTGCATGCACCGCTTGCTGGAGTGTATGTAAATGCTT